ATTTGTTCAAGTCATTTCAGTAAAATGCCACGAAATTCACAGGCTCCAGTTTCTCAAATTTGCTGGTTTTCTTAGTCCTCTCTGGTATTAAACTTTTTCTAACATTTTAGGGACCAAACATTTAAAATATTTAACAGATTAATCGATAATAACAAAGAACATTTGTTGCAACCATAATGTACTTTGTTAGTTCTGATAAAATGCTTTAAAACTAGTTTTAAAAACTAGTGTCTATTTTCGAAAGATTGTCAAACAAACACACGAGTGTAGAACTAAAGATTCTGAAGCTATTAGATCAGTTGTAAAGATCTCCACTAACGACTCTACAACCTCTTTTTGAAGAGCTGACCCTGAGATGTTGGCAGAGAAGTGGAAACAAAAGCACTGGAGCAAAAAAAAAGAAAAAAAAAAGGAAATAGATATGCTTTTCCACGAGGCAACACAACCAATTTCAGGTGACATTTTACATCAATGGCAAACAATCGTGACTGTCGGGCAGAGTGCAGGGATGTCAGCCTGTTTGGCAAACACGTCTGTTCACACTGCAGCAGACACCGAAGCGAAAAAGCAGGACTCGTTTTTTTTTTCCTTCTTCTTTTCCTCGAAAAGTGTCCTGTGGTTTGTACAAACCTGGAGAATTTGATTCTGTAGAAAACAGCGGCCTAAACTTTGACCTGGACCTGTCAGCGTCTTGACAGTGAATAAATAATAAAAAATAAAAAAAACTGGCCAAAGAGTCTTCTAAGGTTAGGACTCAAACCAGGTCGATTCATGGAGTTTATTGGTAGATTAGAGGACTCTGTGGTCACATAAAGCCCAGTAACCTCTGAGGTAAGATCATGTGCACTGAATTTATCTTTGACCTTGTATGTGAGTCCCCGGAGAAATGTTCCTCCAGTTAGAAAAGAGAAAAATCAGCGAGCGTCAACAGCAGCTTAGAGAGGGAATGTAGAATAACTTCTCATTTTATGGTTTGCCCCTTGTGATCAGATCAACAACATGCAATAAAGGGTGTGAAACACCTGACAACACACAGGGAAAAGGCTAACGGAGAATTTACCACTGAATATGGTTTCCTGAGATAACCTATTTGTAATCTTTTTAGCATGGTGAGCTCGTGCAGCTCAAAAACATGCCAGCAATAACCACTTAACAACAAGATGTTGCCCAAAAGAATGAAAAAAGGGTTAGGATACTCCCACTTCAACTCCTAACAACAAAGAAATTAGATCAGGCAGGAGCCCTGGAGTCAGATTGGGTCAGATAGAAGATCAAATGTCCATCTCCCCTGTGGAGCTTTGTAAGCACCACATCAGCACCACTTTTCACCACCAGCTAATACACCTAATGGACCCCGCCATATAAAGGCTGTATTCCCCTGTGATGGTATGTTAGTGTGTGTGTGTGTGTGTGTGTGTGTGTGTGTGTGTGTGTGTGTGTGTGTGTGTGTGTGTGTGTGTGTGTGTGTGTGTGTGTGTGTGCGTGGGTGTGTGAAAGACACAGCTAGATATGCTGGGAGAGACAGGGAGGGAAAACAAAGGGCGCTATACAGACAGGCTACAAACAGCTTGAGCTGCAAAATGAGTGCATAATGTAAAGATTCAGTTTGTGAGTAATGTGATGCAATTCTTCGCAGAATTCATAAACTGGCCCCTGGCACCAACTCAATTAAAGAGAGATTTTTGCGCTCACAGTTTTTGTTAAATAGCTTTTAAACATCATTTACAAACAACAAAACAGTATGATATGAGCAGCTGGAAAAGGCAACCAGCAGGGACTCCAGCCAAAAACTAGTCCGGCACATTAACACCCTGTAAAACCCCCACTTGTTTACTACTTTATTAAAATATGGATAAACAGAAAAAGACACAAAGTTCATTAGTGAGCCTTACAGCTGCTGGTAAGCAGATTTTGTTATTGGAAAGAGCTAGGCTAGCTCTTTCCCCGTTTCCAGTCTTTATGCTAAGCTAAGCTAACCAGCAGATATAGACAGACAGATATAGGAGTGGTCTCAATCTCTTCATCGTCTCACTCTCAGCAAGAAAGAGAATAAGAATACTTCTCAAAATGCCCATCAGTCATCTCAGGACCACTCAGATTAATCTTGTGAACTCTTGTTTGGTTCCCGATTCCCAGGTTGGAAACACTAAAATACACGGCCGTGCGTTTGTAAACCATCGAAAAAATATGAAGAGATAATTAAAATTACGTCATTTAAAATCTTATTTACTCTCATTTACAGTTTCTCATGTGCTTTTAATCTTGTTCTAAATGCAACATTACCAAAGGCCACCAAATGAAACAAATGGCTCCTTATCCGCTGCAGTGAAATGAGTTGTCAGAGCTCATTGAAAACACTGCCATTCTTCAGTATAAAAATGTCTTATTACTTCCTTCTTTCACCACGCTCTCCTCCCTCCTCCTTCCCCTTTATCCCCCGCCATCCTTCGCTCGCTTTATTCCTCTCTCAGTCTCTCTAATTTGCAATTGATTAGCTGTCCTCTCGCAGCTCAGTCCCATGCTCTACATCCCTCGTACCCTGCTTCCTCTTTATCCCTCCTCACCCCTCTCCGCTGCCTCCCCCCCCCCGCCCATCCTCTCCTCCGTCTACGAGTCAATTTCTCTTTAACGAGCGTTGGTACATTTCACTCCCCGGGCACCAGAGCCCTTCTGTGTAAATAAAACAGAGAGCCGAGCCAAAAATCAATGGGCCTATTACCCTCAGAAAATGCTAAACAAGCAATATTAGCAATTCGGTTGGTAGTGGAGGCCGACTGCCTTAATGGGACTGTAGCTCGACCCCCCCACCACCCTCCCCCCAAACAACATTGCCGACACCACCATCACGCCGCCCAACCGCCTCCACCCACCCCCTTCAATCTCGGTTTCCACTCAACGAGCCACACACGTCGCATCATCGTATTAAACGCCATGGATGGAAAACACACATCAGCGTCCGTGCACACTGGCGTAAGAGTGCACACAAACACAGCCTGCACATCAAAATCATTTGCTTCCAAAACTCACACACACACACACACACACACACACACACACACACTGAAAACAAGCACACAAAGGCTGCTGGCAGAAACTAGGGATTCACTCTCCAAAACTGTTTCCTGACAGAAATCATTGGGCACCAGTCAGAGTCACCGTCCACATTTTATCTCTTTTTGTTTTTTCTCCCTTTCCCTCAACACACACACACACACACACACACAGTACACACACACACACACACACACACACACACACACACATACCAAGACCAGCAAACAGCAGGATTTATGGTAGACAACCCATATTTCATCAAACAAGTCTGATTAGTGTGCCAGTAAAAAGCTGCGCGTGGTGTGTGCAACATTCACACACAGAAAAACACACAGACACACACACACACACAAACACACACACACACACCACAACAACAACAACAGAAACAAACACAAAGACTAACACATACCCCCTAGTAAACATCTAAAATATATGAGCACATACAAACACACACACATACAACACACACAAATACACAAATAGCGCACACAATACTAAATAAACAACTACAGTGTACATACAGACACACACACCAAGTAAACATGTACAGTATACATACAGGCTGTTATACAGACACCCCACAACACACTAACACACACACAAAGACACACACACACACACACACACACACACACACACACACACAATATAGATACACACAAAAACATACTCATACAGCAAGACAAAGACCGATCATTTATCACATCCTCTCATACTTATGAGCGCACACACACACACACACACACACACACACACACACACACACACACACACGTGTCATGTCTCTGGAAATGAATGTGTAGCTGGTTAGCTGTGGCCCATTTAGCCTGGCAGCTGATGTGTGGTTAACACAGACATTTATGCTAATGACCCTCCGTGTTTAAAAAAGGCAGCAGTAATGTAAAGGCTCGTTAAAGGCCAAATCCTCGCTCACTCCGCTCATTTTTCAGCCCATTTTCTCTTTCAATTAAACTGATGAAATTATTATTCACATGTGAAATTACTGCTCAACCTCGCCAGGCACCAAAACACGCTGAAACAGAACAAATGAGAAATGGGGGGAATTCTTAAGCACTGCTCTTTTTTTGTTTTTTTTTTTGTTTTTTTTTTTTGTTTTACATTCGTTCATTATGAAACACGGTATATCTTTAACACACAATCTGGGCTCTTCACACAGTTTGTGCCCCTCCCATTGTATCATTACATTCAAGTTACAGCTAAGTGTCAGAGTAACCCGGCCCAGAAGGTTGTTCACAAAACACAGCGCTTGTCTTAAGGTTTTCCCAGAATCCAAAAGTTTGACACACTTAGACACTGTTTCTCAAGGTGCAACTACATTTCCTGACGTGTTCTTTCCAAAATATAAGTAAAATAAGATATAATAATAACACATTACTTTGTATGAAAATATAAAATGTTGAAAAGAAACAATATATATACAAATACTGATAATAAGATTATGGTTAATTATGGTTAACACTGTAGAAATTGAGGAAGGAGATTAGCGGCTAGCATTATGAAACCGAGTGGTGTTAAATCTTCTTTAACACGGAGTAAACAGAACATTTTTCCATCAATGAGGATTCTGGAAATACTTTCAAAAAAGTGTTTTTTTTCTAAGATTACCAGTTAGCGAACACAAGAATATCATAAGCAACGAATATGTCAACCTCAAAAAGGAGGTAAAAACTATTTAAATGTATGTATTCTTGCAGAACTTAACGAAACTATAAACTGCATAATGTGCGGCACCTGGAAAAACAGGTTGGGACATTTTTGAAACTGAACTGACAGCGAGTTTAGCAGGAACTACGGATTTCAGCCTCAAAATGTAAAACATGTTGATCTTATTTACCCTCTGCATTTATCTGACACCTACTACAGTGAGGAATCAGTTTCACTTCCTTTTCACACATAGTAAAAAAAGAAAAAAAGTTTCCTACCTGCTTGTGCATCTCGATGTTGAGTCCGTATGACATTTCATAGTACTGAAAAAAAAACAAAACAAAGATCAAACGTGTCCTCTCTGTTCCTCTTTTTGCACACAACAAAAATACTGATGCACACACCCCCCACCCCCCCCCACACACACACACACCCACCCACACACTCAAACACACAAACACACACACACACACACGTAGTCAATGGCACTCACCATGACATAGTGTCTCTGCATCTCAGTTTTCTCACTGGCCAGTTTCTCACACTCCAATTTCAGACTGTGAGGCAGAAGGAAAATATCATGTTAGTGTATGTCACGATCAAACCCACAGCAGCCCTCACACACGTTCAAAGGTAAAACAAAAGTGCACTTCAAATCAATTATGACTTTAAAAAAGACTGAAATAATTAAATTGGAGATGTCACTTGTAGAGCACCAAACCTCTAAGTGACTACATCCTGTTACTTTAAATTTGCATTTCTAAATTTGAGTGGAACATAGAGAGAAAGAAAGAAAAAAAAAAAAAGAGTCCCCTTGGATCACACCAGTTTCCCCTGCAGACACAGAAGACACTTACTCAGCAGGTACTGTGCAGTAATTAATGGATCAATAGACGACCACACAAAACTCATCATATATTCTTACAGTGAGTGGAAGCCCAAACTGCACCATCAACAAAAAAGCAACCATATAATGAGGATCCATTTTACAAGTGTGGCCACACAAAAGCTGAACTCTTTCAGATTGTTGGTTGTCACTGGAAAGCTGCGATACATCACTACAGGAAGCTTTTGTTGAGGAGATCATCAGGTGTATAACGGTATCTAACTGGTGCAGGTAAAGTTAGGATGCTGACGGACTAAAGGAGCGATTTAAAGGTTAGAATTGGTGATGTACTGTTGTATATTCAGTGCGTATATCTGACCCACCCTTACTCGCCCCGCCCCCAAATCAGTGTCTCCCTGCTGTTAGGATTTCACTGGTATGCAGCAGTTTGATCACATGCAGCTGGCACTTTCCTTGGTTCAGCTCGTTCTTGATTGGCCAACAAACTGGACCGCTGGTTCATCTCACCAGGTGATTGGGCAATAATTACAAGGTGGCCCGAGGCGAGCGATTATTATGCATTGGTATCGTGCTTATGGTTCTTCCCCAAGCAATGTATTTCACACTTCATCATGTCGGGTAAAAAAAGCATTTCACACCACTTGCACTTGCAGAGAGAGACGTGCATACCAAGGCTGGTGGGGGTTTACCTGTGGATAGTCACCGAGTGAGTGATGGACCTGAGACAAAACGTGGACTGCCAGTGTGTTCGCTCTATTCACAGGATCCGTGGAGAACCGGTTTCGTGGGATCTCCAGAGGGATATCTACCTCACACTGAGCATGTTTTATGTCTCAATCAAATCCTTCACAAAAATCCATCCGTGTCTTATATTTCATGGCATTGCATCATGCATTTCCCTAATATTCTGGTGATACTGTGTGACTCATAGATGATTGGTGCAAGGCAGGTCAACATCACAGACATTAACCTCTCTAACCTAATGTGGTTTCAGTTTACAATATGGGCTAAGGCCAACTGATACTTATTATCACTACTGATTATTCTTCTGCTTTTTTTTTTATCAATTAATGGTTTGTCCTAACATCAGCAAATTATGAAAAATTACATGTTCCCAGACCCCATGATGCCTTTTTTAAAATGTTGATTGCTGTTTTGTATGATGAGCAAACCAAAACACAAAGATGTTCAATCTTTTTTTTTTTGTTGTTAACAATAAAAGAATAAGAAAACCGGAAAATACTGACAATGAAGAATCTGGAGCCATTTGTCCTTTTGAAATTGCAATTTTTGATTAAAATTGCTCCTGATAAATTTTCTTTTTTCTGTCAATTAACCACTCAATTAATAGATGCAGCTCTATAGACCCAGAATAACACACAGATCAAATTTATAACCACTTTTTATCCCACAGCAGGAACTTTCGTCAGTATTTTATGGGCCGATGAGCAGATGTTTCCGTGCAGCGTTAATGTCATGCTCCATCCAAACTCTCACCTGTGATACTGAGCTTGCAGGAACTGGAACTCCTCCTTGATCCGGTCGCAGGACTCGGTGACAGTGAACTTGAACGGCTGTCCCGGCTGGTGGGGGACCTCAACCCAAACCAAACAGCATGTGAGGGAAGAGAGGAAGAACTGAGCCACCAAAGTTCAGTGTCACGACACACACACTCGCACACACACTCGCACAGAGGCAAGACTGTAGATGACAATAGGCCTCTGTGATACGGATGGCCTTTTGGTTTCACACAGTCTCCTCACACGGTAACCCACGCACACTCACAGACACACACATACAGCTGCAGCAGTTTGACAATGAGCGCAATTGTCCGTGCGAGCGCGCAGTGGCACGGAAACTTGATCTAAACTGATTACGCATCAGGCGCGCGGCTGTTAATCCGCGCTGTTTTGACACACTGCCTTGGCTGCTACTGCTCTCTACTTACCGGATGCCGTGCCGGGGGGTACATCTTGCTCAGATCTCGAATCATTAAAAATGTATTTCAAAGTTCATCCACATAAACACGAAAACAAAATGTGTGAGCACGGATCTTTCCCCGTGCGTAAAAGGTCAGTCAGTGGTCGCTTTGCGGTCTACGTGCGTGTTCCGTGAAGAGCGAAAACATCCTCGGATATTTGGCTGGTCAAAGACAGTGACACAGTATTTCAAAAGTCCATTCAGTGTGATAATCAGAGCAGGAGTTGCTTCACTCTTCTCCAAAACCTCCAGCGCGTTATTCTATGCGCAACAAAGCTTTAAATTCTCCCTCTGAACTAACAACGAATCCTCTTATTTTCTCTGATTTCCCCTACAAAGCATCGACTTCTGGCACATCATGACCCCGCTTGTCCGCGCCTGAGCTTCTCCGCGGCGTCTCGTCGTCACGCATTTATGGGTTAATTTCCTACAGCCTCCGTTAATGTTGACATCCTCACGCAGCACCGGAGGAGCGACCACCTCACCGACTGTAGAAGCCTGCCCCTGCGAAGCCAAATTTAGAAGCAACCAGTCGTACGAGCGCAATTACATATTCACAACAATTATAAGGGCCCGTACCGTGACGTCGGGACGTGTAGTTTAATTCATATTAGTCGATAATAAGCACTACAGATGTGCGTCTGCTGTAAAGAACTACAACTTCCCGGCTCCTCCGCGAAGCCCCCAAAGCCAATGGTGTGTGGTCTAAAGGAGGAGCGACCATTAAAGACAGCCAATAGCGACAGAGAATTGTACACACTGCGCTCCACCCTCCTGCCAATCATCGATCTGCTATCCAATCACCTCCATCAGGATGCGATTTATGCAGACTCCCCACGTGGGGGGCTCGCTCTGGTACTAAAAGATGTCACAGGGATTAATCTGGAAACTATCTGTTGACTTATGTGCATGTTTTTTTTTTCATAGAGACTTCCAGGCACAGGCGAACATATGGCCCCTTGGTGTCTCATGTTTTTCCTGTTTTTTTTTTTTGTTTTTTTTTAATTGAATCGCCTATTAAAATTGTCTCCTATTATGTCCACAGATTGCATTTACAACCCTGCAATTAAATCCTTATTCAGCTGCTGATGTTCACCTCAGCCTATAGGATGTAAATCATACTGTGGCTGACAAAGTAATGTAAACACTTCATTAAATTCAATTTGCATTATTGTTACTGCTACAAAGGTGGGTTTATAGGTTGTTTGTCAATTAGCTTGTTGTCCGTCCCCTTTATTGGGCGTATGGGTTAGGCTTACGTGTTGGAAATGTTTATATGGTTTCCTTTGTTATAAACACCTTTCTCTCTTTTTTTTTTTTTTTTTTTTTTACAGATGCACCTGCAGTTTGGGCACAGATTTGCCCAATTTGGAGCCGAGAGCTCTCATAAATGCCATTATAGACATAGTCAGAGTGCCATGTAGTCTATTATGACACATCTTTTAGTGTCAGTCACCTTTTGCGATTTCATGTTTTAGATTGAAAGGAATTGTCACAGCTGGGAAATCACAGATGTTTAATAATAACATTAACGATGGCTGAATTCCATTTAGCTGCTTCAGTTTCTGGGTCCTGATGTTGTCCTGATGGTCGTGTCAGAATGGAGCCACTGTTAATGTTATTAAGAGCATCCATGTTTTTCTTATTATGACAAATCTTGATGCCAACCAGACCGTAGACCGTATAGAGCAACAATTTGACTTCTATATAGATACTGCATTGTTATCATTTGTTTGTATAAAATATATAAAGTATACAGAATTTTCAGGCCCACTTGACTGTACACAATAGCAGTGTGTATGTTGTGTGTGCTTATATATGTATCTTCCTGTATATGTTTGCTCTTGACACCGTATTGAGAGTCAGTGTCCTTGTGTGTTTAAGTATATAGTACATACCGATAAAGTCATTTCAAATTCTGCTCTGCAGGTGTTTTCACCTACGTGACCTGAGAAGACCTTTTCTCTGGTCAGTGCGGGCATGTACACACTGCACTTCATTTATTCATGATGATTGACGTCTCTTTCAGTTTCCTGTTTTGTTGCACCTGTTAGTGCTGCACTTACATCGTTTACCCATTTTGTATTCCCATTTCAACTTTTTCATGGGACTCTCCTGGATAATGTAACAACCCTGTGGGTTTGTGTTATGGCCGGCAGTTTCAATTATTTCAGCTTAGTATATGAGAAACCATGTTTTGTCTTATCAAACAATTAGATGCTTTCATTACGATCCAAGCCGTAGAAATGCTCCAGTTTGTCAATGTAACAATGTCCAAGGGAAAAATTAATGGGACTTTAACTTCCACCAGAAATGGCTCTTCCCACTTTGCAGCTCTATTAGTACAGAGAGTTTGATGACGTTACATAATTCACAGCATTGCTCCACCTTATTTACACCTGAGGTCTGATCAATCACGTGTGTGTGTGTGTGTGTGTGTGTGTGTGTGTGTGTGTGTGTGTGTGTGTGTAGAGGGCCTTAAAATCATTTTACAGGACGCTTTTGCATTATTTTGTTGACCCCTTGTAACTAATACTATCCAATTAAAACACCTATTGTTCGGTTAATTGAAATACATCATGACTGGAACTCATCGCCTCGATCTATCTCTTATATTCAGTAACCCACTCAGTGTGAGGGAATGAGTGTATACAGTATGTCAGCCCACATTTACCCACTGTAAGTAGATGTTCAGTGTGGGTAGATGAAACACACTGTTGCTGGGTCAGCAGCTCGCCAAACCGCTGCGTTCAGTCATTTAGCTGCATTAACTGACTAAGTAACTGTCGAAAATCTTAATCATCTGATGCTGCATTACACTTCATATTTCTCCTCTCCCCCTCTGAATTTCTTATCACCTCTTATAGCTACATTTGGGATTAGACTTATTATAATGTGTGCGCCTAATTGTATCTTAAAGCTGCGGTGCTGCTCTAACATGATAAAGCGGGGCATCTATCATCATTACATGTTACCTTTTTTTATTTATTTTTTTTATTGCTCAAACACACAAACACACACACACACAGGCGTACAAATGGTTATCCACAATATGACACCACATCAATCCTCTCTCTCCTTCAGTCAGTCTGTCCGCCTCTGTCTCTCTGTCTTTCCTGTTGTCTCTGCCTCTCCATACGTACACAGGATTGTGCACACATACACACCGCCTCAGCCATTCAAATACACATCTCTATCCACCACACATACAAACTAATATCTCAGGTAAGCACAGGGCCTAAAGTGACCTGCTGTCGTGGTGCGTGAATCCACTAAGGCTCCGAAAAGGTAATATCGTGCCCTCCCTATTTCCCCTCCAAGGGTTGAGCCATGATGTGGGTGAGCAGGGGAGGTGCAGAGGTGAGGGAGGGGGGCAGGTGAGGAGGAATAAACAGATTTATTTGCCTGCGCCCCTCTCTGATTATTTTGCCCCTGCCTTTTGTTCCAGACCTTATGAAACCCAAATGTCAAGTGAGGCGAGGGCCTCATATCGAGCCCTGTCAATCACGACCCTCTGCGCACCTGAAGCCCTGACGCCGGATTATTGGCTTCAACACAAGGGCTGCCTCTGCCGCCAGCCACGATGCCTCAGACGATTCGACAGCCACGTTTTTTTTTTTTTTTCTAAAGAGGAACTTCATTTGGCAGCTGATGCGCAGGAGATTGCACAGGAGCGTATTTTGAGGGTAGATGGGTAGCAGGCTGGATGTGTGTGTGCGTGTGTGTGTGTGTGTATGGAGGGCAGAGTGGCTTATTGAGGGAGGGGGGATTAAGGGGGAGGGAGGCAGGCTTGTCGTGGGTTATGGTGGGGAGTGGGTGGCGAGGATACCCGGCCTTAACATCTTGCTCAGTGTACTGATCCCGACTAGCTATCAGCACCTGTACACATGTCTCTTAATCTCACTGCTGCTCTCTCTCTCTATCCCTCCCTCCCTTTCACCCTTGCACTCACACAAGTACACACACACACACACACACACACACACACACACACACACACCAATTTCTACAGTATCTGCTTATTTTTAATATTACTTCCTCACTATTACAAACCGTAACATCCGTGAATTCTCACACACACACAGTCCAATGGTCATAGTATTTACCCTTTGTCGGGCGTCTACTGCAGCTCACCAGCACCAGAATACATTCATGTATCCGGAGAGCCACATCCAATTCAGATGGTGCAGCTTAGGTGAAAAAAGCATAACACATCGTCACACAAGTTACATTCATTGCTGTAAACTCCCTCCATACATCACAGGAGCACCATTGAAAGAGGTGAGGTGAACATGTTGGTCCTCATGCATGAACCAGTCATACGAACAGATTCATTATTAATTTGTACATAAGAGCGATTTAAGAGAATTTGTGGCATTCACCAATTTTTCTCTCAGGTACAAATGCGATTCACGAGTGGTGCTGATGAGTCATGAACTGATGTCGAGTTTTTAACCTTGTTAACATGTCCATATCGTGTTCTTCTATATAATACAAGACATATCATGAGCGAAATAATCAGTCAACGCCATGACTGTGTATTTCCACCTTGGAACTACAGTGAACCAATGACAGTCTCACAAACAGATTCAGCCAGGTTTTCATATGTCACAAACCTAAGGAACCAATCCCGTCAGCTTGCGGGGACGGGAGGCGGGCAAAATAAACAGGAAAGCTGGTCAGCACAGAAAGAGCGAGAGTTTGCATTAGCACAACCACTAATACTGTGTCGGCCACTGCCAGCTACAAGCTAGCAAACAACATGAACAATTAAAAGACGCTAACTATGCTAACCATTCTGTTACATCTGCTAGTCAACGATTTTGGTCACAACAGACTCCTCATCTGAGTCTGACTGAGGCTCAAACATGTGGCTGAGTCTCTCTGATGTTTCCGCCGCTTGATACGCTCTGCTCTTTCACCGGTCACCGAAACCTTGTCAGTACAGAGAGATACAGTTTGCATTAGTACAACCACTAATAATGTATCAGCCACTGTGGGTAACAAGCCAACAAACAACATAAA